TCAGCTGCTGGGGCGATGCTGGGGCGACTTGGCTCACATGCCGACTGAGAGGGCTCTGCATGCCTGCTGCGGCACATGTGCCATAGGTTTGCAACCACTGCCCGATAGCTATAGAAAGGTAAAGTAGCATATATTGCAGTGCATAAGGCAGCCTAAGCCATCAAAATAGTTTTCATCTAAAACAGAGTTCCAAATTAATTGGGCAGCAGATTTTAAGTTACCCTTTTTAATGCAAGTACCTTGGAAAACTGCAGTATGTGGCAGGGAGGGCAGGTGGGCGCCAGACACAGGACCAGGCATGTAACTGTGTGCAAGATTTGCAAAGTGATGCAGGAGGAGCTCCGCCAGAGTGGGGGACACTCCCCTTCCTAGCTGCCACCGTGGCCAGCTAGGTGAGGGCCTGCGTGGGGGCACAGCAGGTGCTAGACTTGGGATGAGGCATGCAGATGTGTGCAGCTGCCCGTGAGGCTTGTGACCTGATGCGGAAGACAAACTACTACCTGGTACGTAAGACCCTCCCCCGCCACCTGATTTTTGCTTTGCAATTTCAGTTTCAAGGGTCATCTTATACACCAGTATATATGGGTATCTGAGGAAAGTAGACGTTGCATACAGTGCAATCTTCATTGATCCCCAGTTTCTGTGTACCCCTCATGAGGGCTCTCCTATAATAAGGTTGGATATGGAGTGCCCTTAACTTTCTTGATATCACCCTCTCTTTCTCTTAGTAGCAATGCTGCCACCATTGCTTATTAATTAACTTCCCCTTCAATAGTATAAAGGTATAAAGCTCCTTCCTATATGGTCCTGTGGATGAGACACTGGTGTTCAAACAGCCCATGGCTGACAAGTCTGGAAAAGAAATGTAAATTTTTTATTTAAAACTTGGGTCAGGTAAGGCCATGAAGATCCTATGTTCCTTCAATGGAATCAAATCATGTTAAAATGTACTATTGGCTTTCATGGCTATTCTGAATATATGGCTGATTCCAAGAGACAGAGTAATGGCTTTAATCCTCCGCATCTCTAAGCTATAAAAACTTGAGATCTATAATGTGGCCAACAGCCAAACATTAAGACAGTAATTATGAGAGTTCATTTTATACAATCATTTGTTCAGAAATGACTAGCAGCGGAAATATATTTGTTTCCTCTAATTTTGGTGGTGTACTCATAATGGAGGCAGCTTTCATCTTGTTTGATTTTTCACCAGACAGGATCACAAGTGTGCAGTTACTTTCCACTTCCATGAGCTCAAACTATTTTTTCCAGGACTCAAATTAAAATTCAAAATTGTCATTGCTTCAGACAACAAAAGGGGAAAACAGTATGTAACAGATGTGACACATGCAGTGCCTCAGATTATTCACCTAGGCTTCTCTTCCTGCCTGGAAACAGAAAATGTTTTTGGAGGGGAATGTGGCAGTGTTTCTGATGGAGTATGTACTCACATTCTTTTCTATCCTTGTGGCTCATAATGTAAGTCCCACAGAAATTTGCAGCCTATAAAGTAGATGGTTGTTGGATGAATGTGCATTCTACTAGCAATGATACTTCTATCATGCAACATTCAGCTCTCTTATTCAGGCTTTCTTCTGAGAAAGCTGGAGGTCTTTGAGGTGGCAGTGGCCACCAGGAAGCCCTAGTAAGATACAGTTGTGCCCAATAATTCTGCAAACACTAAACAGTTTGTGGAAGTGTTTTTCTACTCATCCCCTCCATTGTACCCCTGCAAAGACTGTCTTGCAGGTAGGAGAAACATAAAGAAAAACCTGGGGTGTGGCATGGTGGCCAGCACCGAGTGGGGGGAATCTGAGGAAAGCAGGAAAGGCAACTTGTCTGCTGACTCCCAGAAGTGACTTCTTAGGGTATGTGGGCAGGAAGCAAGGAATCCCTACTGTGTGAGCAAACTTCTGCTTGTGCAATGGTCCAGTACAACCAAGGGAGTTCTGATGCACTGTCCAGAATTCTGGGCAATGTATAGCCCGGATATAGCTGCTTATGAAAAGAATGAGGGAGCATTGGCAGTTTTATGAGGGCATGATCCAATCAGGAGTTAGCTTTAAAAAGACTGCATGTCTTTGGATAGAGCAAGCCAGAAATTTCCAGCAAGAAATAATGCCCACTGGTGCATGGAATGATTAGCAGAGAATTATTTGCTAACTCTGTAAACTAAAATATAATAACACATTCCCTGGGGAAAAGAGATGTGCTGTGTGACAACAGTGATTTCTTACTATCACTTTCAAAGATTCATGTATTTTTAAAGGATAAAGACAAAAATCTGTTCCAAGTTTAGGGATAAGTCATGTACCAAGATTAAGTTTTCTGTACTGTATTATGAAGTCATCAGCTGTGCAACAGAAAATCCAGATGTCCTGAGTGGGTACATTTAGTCAAAATCTACAGGATGTAAAGAACTGGTTTAGAGGAGACATAGTACACATTAACCTTGAATTTGGGAAGCACAGTAAGTTCAGCCTGCAAATACTACAGAATGTAGTTTAAATGTTGTGATCTCATTTACCAAATAGAAATAGAAAAAGGGAAGGAAAGGGAAAGATATCAATTCATCGGTTCTATTGTTCTCCTCCCATGAAGATGATGAGAGAAGAGATACACTAGCTACCTCCACTTCCTCCATTGCTTCCTCATTACTAGCTCAATTGCCCTTTACACATCAGAGTGAACACCTGCAGCAGGGACTGCTACATCTGCTTTAGGTTCCCTGTGCATCATTAGGGATTTCTAATTCACATGGGGAATCTCCACAAGTCAGCGGGCAACCCACTGCAGATGCCTCTTTTCCAATGCACAGAGGGCCAGGTGACGATGCTGTGACAGAGTGTGAGGAGCTAGCCAGTATGTCCCTATTCTCCATCTCACTGTGTATGATGGACACTTGCGCAGGGTTACAGACAGCTATTTCATTGCATTCATTGAAAAGTGGATGTGAGATGAAGATGCTAGACAGGAAGGACATGGCATGAAGTCAGACATGGGCAACTTGTGGCCCTCCAGATGTTTAGGTTTACTACTCCTGTTACCCTTAGCTAGCATACCTAACGGAGAAGGAGAAGGAAAGTTGTAGGCCAAAAGTTCTGGAACGTCACAAGCCACCTCTAACCAAGGCAATGATTGTTTTAAGGTGTTTTAAGGAAGATATGGGAATGTATCATATACCATAAGGTAGGGGCACGCAAATTAGTATATACTCCAGATGTTAGAGGCTACAACCCTAATAAAGCCCAGCCAGATGGCCCATACTAAAGGATTATGAGAATTGAAACCCAAACTTCTGGAGTGTGCCAGGTGGCCAACCTCTACCATAAGTAGTGTAGAATCACTCCCTTTCAATCAAAATATCCTTGAACTCCTCCACCAATTTGCATCCACAAGACCTACAGTGCAATATTTACATTAAATAATGTACAAATATGTATCTGATGGGCCTTAAGATGTAAATGCCAGTGTTTCCAATCTCATACAGCGCAAAGTTGCCTCATTCGAGGATGACAAATTCTTTGTGGCAGCAGCAACAACTAGCAGCCAGAGGAGCATGCCCACCCTTCGACCCACTGGGAGCAGTGCATCAGCCATCAGCGTCACAAGTGCCAGGGGAGGCAAAAACATTAAGGGAGCCAGTGACCTGTCTTATATGGCAAAACAGCCCACCGTGGGTGGTGAGGGATGGCGGGCTGTGGTGTCCTCTGAAAGCAGATCACAGGGTGGCGTGTTCTTTCCAACAAGTTACCCAGAGAGCCCATGGTTTGCTTCACCCATGGCACACCATTCATAACCATCATGAGAGGTTTAAATGAGCATATTAAAATATAAGTTTCTAAAAAATATTTAAAAAGGTGTTTCCTTTTAATTTGCAGGACAATTTGCATATATTAGTTAAAAGGGGCAATAGAATAGGGAAAAGTTACGTTGCTCACCCAATTCAAATCAGAAAGCCTGCAAAATATCTCAACTTAGGCAAGTATAAATTGATTTATGGTTATTTGAATGTAAGAAGAACCTTTTGTGATCCACAGAGGAAGAATAACTACAGTAACACACAGTGAAAATTTATGAGATTGCAGGGAGGTCAAAGGTGTGTCTGTTTTTAAAGCAACTAGATGCAGAACTGCTGCTTATTAGCAGTTCAAGTAAACAAGTCAATAGATTCTGGTGAATGTAAGGAAAAAATTATAAAAGAACCAGTCTCTTATAGGTTTCCAAGCTTGTCTTACATGCTGCAAGTTGATGTGCTTCCTCCGTGACCTCCTCTGTAATGGAAATGTTGGTGCCAGAAAAAAGAACAGGAAGGATCAGAAAAGTGGTGACACCAAGCGGCTGGTATGGTGTCGGAACGACACAGTGGTGATTAATGGGGCTACGTTATCACGCTGGTATTATCCGGCAACGGGCCGTGGGAGGCATATCAAAGCCCTGTCGGGGCTAAGATAGAGTGCCTGGCAAGTCTTCCAGTTGGGGTGGGGTGGCAACCCCACATCTACTGGGAGATAATCAGGCATTTCTCAGCCGGTTAATACAGGGGAGAGGTTTTTGCTCCCCCAAGTTCTCGACATACCGTCATAAATTAGGAATTTAGCTAGAGGAATCGTTGGATTTACTGGGAAGCATTCTTATCTCTTTTTTATTTATTTTTTTTAATTTATTTGGAGTGCTTGTATGCCGCCCCATTCGCATAAGCCTTGGGGCGGCTTCCAACAAATGAATAACAATATACAAAATATACAGAATTGGAAACATCCCAGAGTTAGATAAAAGTAATAAATAATTTAACAATCAATTAAAATAACATTTAAATAAAAAGGTCTTGGCCTGGCGCCGAAAAGCAAATAATGACAGTGCCAGGCGGACCCCTCTGGGGAGCGCATTCCACAGATGGGGCGCCACCACAGAGAAGGCCCTCCTCTGGGTACTCACCCACCTATAAATAAATAAAAATAAATAAAACTGTTGTTAGTATGGAAGAATTACAGAAGACATTTTTGGCAATACAGACTTCTTTAACAGCTTTGCAATCATCCCAACAGGTGATACTAACACAGCAGGAGACTATTTTAATTGAACAATTTGATCTTTTTTTAGCTGAACAAAAAGGACATTTTGACAAATTAGACGATTCCCTAAATGAGACTTTGGGCAAACAAACCAAAAGTGAACAGAATATACAAAATATGCAACAAGCAGATGGAAAATCTGAAATGGTAAATGGAAAATTTGGAACAGTGGTAAAAGAAATACAAATACAATCAGTACAATTAGTAAATCCAATAAGCAAGTCTTCATGGGATCTACTTGTCATGTTGGAGAAGGAGAAGGAAAAAGAGAAGACAGTTAAGTATTTAAGAGAGTTGAGGTTTATGTGGCTGGTAAGAGAAGGAGTTTGGTTTATTGGGCTGCAGGCACTTCATTTGAAGACGTATACTGGCTTATTACAGGCATTTCAACAATTTAAAATGAAGCAAGAGAAGCAAGAAGAAAGATTCAGCAGAGGTGTAAAGAAAAATAAGAGAATTTTGTATTTTTTTAAAAAAGGAATGACTTAAACAGGTTGGCATGTTTATATGTGATACGGAAAGGCTAAATTACCATTGCTGATGACAAAAGGGGTGGACATAAGCGAGATACGTCAAAGATGATAAAGATTTGGATTCTTAGAAGAGTTAATTGTATTTGACTAAATGAGGTCTAAGTTTGATGAAACATTAGTATCTTAGTTCAAAGAGAGCTTGTTTAAAAGATATTATAGGTAATAGCTGTTTGTTAAATAGACTAGTTAAGATATTTTAAAGGGGCTAAGTAGCTGTTGGATAGGTGAACACAAATTAGGTATTTTTTGTGTCATAGAGTAAAAATAAGAAAACATTAGTAAATTAGCTTAAAGAAAGTTTGTTATAAAAGATATTATAGGTATTAGTCACCATTAGCTAAATGCCTTTAAAGATGTTAAATGGATGTTTTTGATCTTATTTGTACTTGTGCTAGTGAGGAATTTATCTGTCTAATGTTAGGAAAATGAAAAGATTCTGAATTGTGTAGAAATGTTTAGATTGAATTTGCCATTGAAGAAGAAAGAAGATATTGATTTACATCCAACTTGAAGATTCTTTCCTTTAATACTGGTTAAGAGAAACTGGACTTTGTAAGAAATGGATGGACTGTTCTTACTGATGAAGGAGAAAGAAGATAGTGACTTCTATTAAATTTGGAACTTATTTTTTTATTGGTTGGAGAAACGGGATTTGGTATAAATTTAGAGATGTTTTCAAGTGATTATAAGCTGACTTAAATATGAATATAGAAGGTTAAAAATATGTAGTAGGGGGACAACCCAGTAAATCTGATGTATGTAATGATTGATGTTTTTAGTACTAGTTTAAAAATTTCAATAACATTTTAAATAAAAAAGAAAAGTGGTGACTCTGAGCTGCTGTCACTGCACGCAAGTGGCCGATTTCAAGTGTGTTAACACAAAGCCATGTTGTGATACATTGCATATCCCTACGCTGCAGTGAATTTTTCAGCAGAGCTAAACTGGGAGAGATATTATCAAAGACTGGTATTTCAATTTTTAAGGCACACACGTTTTCTTTTTATAAACAATATGCTACTTGTTAAAGTTTATTTCTCTTGGACTAGTAAATTTAACAAATTCTCTACTGGCACAAATATTCAGTACTAGGAAAAATAAAGTTAGCTGTTAGAAGACAATTATACATATTAATCAATAAATAAAACCTTAAACAGTATTTAAAGCACATACAGAGACAACATTAATGTATTACATTATAGCAAGTATGGTGTAGAAACACACAGATCTTTTTCCATCCATTAATAGATAATCACCCCCATACAAACGGAATTTGTGTCTTAAACCTATTCAAACTAGATGTAATTTTAAAGAGAAATTGTGACCTTAGACAGGAATGTACCACAGCATATGTGCTTCTTAAAAGTAGTCTATTCTTTCTCTTTACAAAGCAAATGTTTACTGAGCAACGCGAGCTTTTGTAACAATGTAAAGTGCTTCTATATAGCCTACAAAAAGGACAAACAACTTGCAGAAGAAATATTCTAAATGGCACTCGGGAAAATTTGGCATGTTTTGGATGGGCAATTTGTTTGAAATGAGGTCTGGGGAAAAAAACTTAAATACAGTGACAGTTAGGCTGAAAGATGTGTAAAATAGACCGCCACATATTGGCCACTTTCATATAAAATTATTGTTTACAAGGAAGAGTAATGGTGCAGTTAAACTAATCAGGAACTTTCAAGGACAGAAAAACGTATTGCCACATCCAAATTAGGACTGTTGGCATGCCACCCATTTAGCAAGCCAGAGTTTAGAGCTGAGGGTTTAAGTTGGTTCCAGGACTCAGGCTTATTAGAGGATCACTGAGTCATGGTTCAGATTCAGATGCAGTAGTACTAAGGCTTTCTACCCAGGTGTGTTCCTGGTGAGTTTAATTCCTTCTTGTAGGAAAAGCTGATCGGGAGTCATCCACATAAGCACCCTTGCTTATGAATGCTAAGCCAGGATTCACTTAAGAGTTCTTTGCTAACGTGGCCACTGGAAAACCTTTGCCATGCCAGCTGCTCATGCTGGATAACTCTTGCTGGTCTCACTTAAGCTGCTTCCCACTGAGCATGTAGCAATCAGAATGTCTGGCTGATTATTTGTCAGTGAAGTAATGGCTACTTGTTTGGTCACTACTCAACACTTGCCAGGGTAGCAGTTCTTAAATAATGGTGTTTCTGGTCATTCCCCCCAACTGCTTTTTTTTGTGGGGGGGGACTTTTAAGCACTGATGCCACTGCAATATGTCCCCTGACTTTACAACTCATAACGCTGACTTACATACAAAGAAAAGCTCATGAGAATAAAAAATCCAGTTATCAAAAGAACATCTCCTGAGAAGAAAGCTTTCCCCAGAGGAAATGGTTGTTTAAGGGATTCTGACCAATTTGAGTCAAGAAGGTGACTGCTCAGAGTCAGTACATGGCACCTGTAAATAAGGGGCAAAATAAATGGAGATTGTGTGCCAAAGACCAGGATACCTGTGGGGGGTAGGTGGGGAGGGGGTGGAAGCTGCGTTTCTCGCCAATCAGCCATTAGACAGGCATGCTTTCTTATTCCTGGATCAAGAGTAGCACCATTTCCATAGAACTGCAACACAGAACTACTGTTCCTGAATTAGAACCCTGCATACAAACATGCACTACTCCATGTTTCTCAAGCCACAGCATGTTCTCTTCATTACCTTATCATAAAACACATCACTACTTTTAATGTCACTTAGCTTTAACAGAGTAGCTTTAAGGAATACTCTGCAGCAAACAATACTATTCCTAGAGTTGCTGCTGGCAATCTGCCCACAGCAACTAGAGGCAGAGGCACATGGCAAGAGCCAACTGTAGTTTCAAGTCACAGTATGATTACATAACTTGCTGGCAGCTCTTTACTTCTTGCTGTCCAAGAAGCCTTACTGTATAGATTTTTTTACCAATGGCCTCAGACCATGCCTGAAGAATAATTTAGATGAATAAATCTTATAACTGACATTCTTTCAAATCAAGCTGACCAAAACACCTGCTTCTTAATCAAAAGACATACTCATCAGGGGCCCAAATAGTAAAGCAGAAAAGCAATTCTCAACTTTTACTCTTTGCTATGTATATAGGATGCATCTCCATTATATTTAATGTCTATGTAACTTGAGCCAGACAATGTATGTAATTAAGGAGAATGTATTTAATTCCAACAATTTACAAATGTTAGCGATATTCACTCTCTCAGGAGGAGTGGTATTTTGTTGCTCTGGGGGTATTGTTGCACTTAATTTCCAGGGTGGTAGGACATAGAATGCCTACCTAGCACTGCAAATCCATCACAGTTCTTCCCCAAGCTGAAATCCCCCAAACATGTTGGACTGCAACTCTCATAATTTCCAGTCAGCATGATTAATGGGTGGAAAGTGTGAGAGTTTCAATCCAACACAACTGGACAGTGTTAAATTGGGGAAAGCTGGATTAGCTCACCCATCACAGGCAGGGTATGCGGAAGTACATATATGAACATCAGTGTGCTTCCCCAACCACTTCTCTTTCAATATATTTTTGGTAAAGTCATTAGAGAAATTGAACACAGTCACTTTTCACATATATCTATTTCTAATGTATTCTCGGTACAAGAGAATGTCATCCTTTCCCAGTAGTTGCATGATCCCCTTGCCAGCCTGGATGTGAGCGTGAAAGATCTCAATAGATTTTCTGTCTACTTTAGGAGGCTGAACTTCATAAATGTTATCCTGGGAGAATGCAGAGATGTGAGTTCTGCAAGAAAAAAATGAAGCTACTGTTAAACATAAAAGGAGTAACACAAGGAGGCAGAAATATGGCTGAGAAATACAGAGATCAAGAGTGCAGGCGCAAATCCATTTCCTAACTATACATAAGGAATCCAGACTTAATCATATTTTGAGTTGACCCACTGGAATTACCAGGACTTAACCTGGACCCATTGATTTCAATGGGTCAATTCTAAATATGATTATATCTGCATTCAATCCAAGGTAATTTCAAAATGGCTAAGGAACATAGGCCCTATATATTTTAGTAGCATCTGTGATAGATTTTGCTAGTAGACTAGTGATTCTAAATCCCACCTTCCTCTAATGCAGGGGTCTCAAACTCATGGCCCGCGGGCCAATTGCCGGGATGGGTGGGGCACAGGGGAGGGACCCTGCAGCCTTCAAAGCGCCAGCGGCGCCCAGGCCGGCCGCAGGATGAGCGGCCCACAACCACTGCCGTGGTGGAATACTTGATGCAGCCCAGCCTCACCCAGATTCTACTTCCAGCGGCCCCCAGGTAAGTTGAGTTTGAGACCCCTGCTCTAAAGGATCTACCACTGAACAGGTGTTTCAGAAGTCTCAGTTTACTGGAACTGAAAGTTAGTGGTAATCAGAGGCTTGGAAGGATTTGTAATATGGCAGTATATGCAGCAATACTTTAGTGACACCAATGGTTTCTCACATTCTAAGTGATAAATACAATTAAATATGTAAAACTAATTAAAGGAATTTGTTTTTAAGTGGAATCCATATATGAGCTTTCATTTATGTTTGCTTCCATACTTCAGTTCTATGGGATACTTTGCTAAAATCAGATGGAAGCGGAAGCAAAACAGAAGTCTAGGGGGATTTTCACAAATCCACATGAACTCATGCATGGTTGGGCAAATACACATTAGGTAATACACCGTAGTTAATAAGAATTTGTGTAAATCTCCTCAAAAGTTAAAAGAAATGTAAAAAAGACAAACTTGCCTCAAATCCTCATTTTATACTTTAGCTTATGGGGAAATGTAAAATTTGTATACAATTCTAGAAGGTAGAACAAGCTCCATAAATGAGGAAATGTAAGCAAATTTCACCTATTTGTTCTGAACAAACAGTGATCGCAAATATGAACAACTATTGGGCACACAGGTGTTGCTAGTGTGATACACAATTTAATAAGATTATGAAGCACCATGTTGAGCAGTCAGGTTTTCTGCCACTCTTGCTCAGTGATTGTAGCCTTTTGACACAAGCTATTTTGCTGGGTTCACATGTCACAACAAACCACACTGAAAACAAGCCATTGCAAACAATTCAGTAACAAACCAGGGTGGCTCATGCATGGCTGACAAACCAAGTTGAAGTTACTGTGACAGGTTTGGATGTCACAAAAATGCTTATAATGCATCATGGGTAATCATGCCAGGTCAATGAATGGCTAACTAGTCATGGTGGGTCGCCATGCTTACACTTCCTGGTTAGTTCCTGGTTACTTCTGACATGCCTCTTGGAAATCACCCAGGAGCAATAGGGAAGAAACTGCTTGTAAATAAGAGTTTGCTTGCTTGCTTGCTTGCTTATTTATTTAGAATATTTATATGCCATCCTGTCGCGAAGGCCTCAGGATGGCTTACATAAATAAAATAATATAAAACATAACATAAATGAATTCCAGATCCACACTGGCTGCAGTTGAAAACATATAAAAACCAATATTAAAAGTTATTAAAATACTGTTGGAATAAAAAGGTCTTAACCTGGCGCCGAAAAACAAATAACGATGGTGCCAGGCAGACCTCTCTGGGGAGCGCGTTCCATAGGCGGGGTGCCACCGCAGAGAAAGCCCTCCTCTGGGTACTTTGCCTCCTAACATCTTTCACGGAGGGTTCCCGGAGGAGGGCCTCTGCTGCTGATCTCAGGGGGCAGGAGGACAAATATGGAAGAAGGCATTCCTTTAGGTATCCAGGTCCCAAGCCGTTAAGGGCTTTATAGGTAATAACCAGCACCTTGAATTGAGCCCAGACTTCGATGGGAAGCCAGTGAAGCTGATAGAGGACTGGGGTTATATGAGAATAACGCCCAGTCCCCGTCAGCAACCTGACTGCTCTATTTTGCACCATCTGAAGTATCCGGGCCATCTTCAAGGGCAGCCCCACGTAGAACGCCCCACGTAGAATGCCCAAGAGGTCCCAAGCTGCGGACCCTGTCCTTTCGAGGGAGTGCAATCCCATTCAGGGCAAGGGCCAAGTCACCTACCCAGGAGCTCGATCCACCCACCAACAGGATCTCCATCTTATTCTTCATTAACTTTCCCCTCTTCCTCACCCTACAGTTGCTCCTCCTCTAACACCTCCCTCCTTTCTTCTCTTCCCTCCAGGATGAGTTGACCCTGCTGCTAAATCCTTAACTAATTCCTCCATGTGTCCATTTGATTGCATGTCTTCCACCTCCTGGCTGCCATCTTCCCCACCACATAATTGCCCTTTCTGCCTTCTGTAGCCCTTTCCCTGTTGCCACCACATTAGTGGGAACTTCCAGATGGAATTTATATTATGCCATCACTCTGCCTCATTCACCAAATTTTACAAGGACCCAGCCATTGTTATTGCCAACTCAAAACTCTCCCATGCTTTCCCACTACATATTCCATTTTTTTTCTTAGTGCAGAAAGCCCATTAAAGAGCAAAAGACAAAATGGATGCACGATGCCACCTAATCTGAAGCATTAGGAGTCCACTGTCTAGAAGACCCACTGATCTCCATAACCAAACAAAAAAAAGTCTCTTGAGATCCATGTGTTCTGATGACCACCCAACCCACCTTCTGTCTTCCCTCACTTTCACTCTGAGCCCTCTCCAATTTGATTTCTGGTGACCATGCTGGTTGAGGTCAATGGAAGTTATATTCCAATATATTTGGAACATTATACTCTGAAAAAGCCATGCACCCCAATGGTACTATAGAAATGAATAAACACCACCACAAGAACTAGTTTGAGCAACCAGCTTCTGTGTACTGTAAATGTCAGTATGGAACTGTAGAATATAGTTGCATTATACACAAACATACACAAACAACCATATGTTACTTTTCCTTATATACTGCTTTGGTTTTACCAACTATTTTAAGAAATAATTTTTATTTTAAGGAAAAAGGAGCAATTTGAAATTACAGAGCTTAATTAAAAGCTACAAAAATGAAGAGCGAAAGAGAGAAGAAAATGGGGAAAGAGACTCTGAAACAGTATGTGTAGAAAAAATCAGGACAGAATGACCAGTACTCACAAATTTATGACCCCATCTAAGTGTTTAGAACAAAGAAGTTGGTGACTCTTGTCCTGCTTGTGATGACTCTGGCCCAACTGAACGAACCTATGAATAGACACAGAAAAGCACAAGGGGGAAAGAACTTTCTGAAATAATCAAAATAACATGTTTCTCACAGACATAGTAAGAGTCATACAGTTTTAAGTAAGGGGCATCAAGTTCTATTAATGGCAGCTGGAACATATACCACACTTTCCTTGAAACTAATATTGTGGGTGAGTAATGCAGTAGCTGTTTTTTGATATATATATCTACTTTAGTGGAGGTATCTTGAAGTCCTTCAAAGTTTCCTTTCATTATGAATTTCACTAAAAGCCCAATAAAGTTTAATCAAGGAATCACAGACTGGCTTTGCATGATTAGGGCAGGAAGCAAACCGCAGTGGCTTCTTTCTCTGACCTGACATACAGTGGGAACAGCTTCCCATGCCCAAACCACCTTGAAACCCAAGAGGACACCATGGGTTGTGAAAGTGGTTTGGAAACCAATCCTACTGCCCAAGTTGCCAAGCTCGGATGACACAGCAACCCATGCCTGGTGCAAGTAATTATGGAAATGAGGCACTATCAGCAAGTGTGAGGTAGGAAAAAGAAACCAGTATGGCTCCGTATCATTCCCTAGGCATGCGAATCCAACCACAGAATGAAAACAGTCAGTCATTTCCAAAGTGATAACATACCATGCCACATATGTAATCTCTCTATAAAGAGAATTTTCCCAGATTTTACCTGCTGAGAATCAGTAAGCTAGAAAGGGCATTATATAACATCTAATTCAATATCCTATTTGATTCAGAGAATCAAGACCTAGAGCATCACCAGTAGATGGCTGTCCAGACAGCACTTAAAGGCCTCCAGTGAAGAAAAGCCCTGACTAACCTGGTAATTGGCTCAAAGACTGATAAATGTATGATAGTTTTCCCTATGATATTGCAGGCCAATAGAGACAAATGGCTCACCAAATGTGACATTACTAATTTATCTCTTAGTAAACAGTCATTTAGTGGAGAAGGAAATGGCAACCCACTTCCGTATCTTTGCCATGAAAACCCCATGGACAGTACCAAAAGGCAAAAAGATATGACGCCAGAAGATGAGCCCCTCAGGTCAGAAGGTGTCCAATATGCTACTGGGGAAGAGCAGAGGCTAGTACTAGTAGCTCCAGAAAGAATGATGCAACTGGGTCAAAGCCGAAATGACACTCAGTTGCTGATGTATCTGGTGGTGAAAGGAGAGTCCGATGCTGTAAAGATCTATACTCCATAGGAACTTGGAATGTAAGATCCATGAATCAAGGCACAGGCTGGAAGAATTTTGTCAAGAGAATATGATGGTCATAGCAAACACTCTTTTCCAACAACGCAAGAGATGACTCTACACATGGACATCACCAGAAGGTCAACACAGAAATAAGCCAAAGATGGAGAAGCTCTATACAGTCATAAAAACTAGACCAGGAGCTGACTGTGACTCAGATCATGAGCTTCTGGTTGCAAAATTTAGCGCCAGTGTGGTGCAGTGGTTAAGAGCATGGGACTGGGATTCAGTGGATCTGGGTTCTAGTCCCGGCTCCGTCATGGAGCCAACTGGGTGACTTTGGGCCAGTCACAGACTCTCAGCCCAACCTACCTCACAGGGTTGTTGTTGTGGGGATAAGATGGAGGAGGAGAGATGATGTAAGCTGCTTGAGCCCTTTGTAGGAAAAAGGCAGGATATAAATCACAATATAAATAAATAAATAAAAACAAATAAATAAAATTTAGGCTTAAATTGAAGAAAGTAGGGAAAAGCATTAGGCCACTAGGGCATGACCTAAATCATATCCCTGATGAATATACAGTAGAGGTGACAAATAGATTTAAGGAATTAGATCTGACAGAGTTCCTGAAGAACTATGGATGGAGGTTCACAACATTGTACAAGAGGTAGCAACAAAAACTATCCCAAAGAAAAAGAAATGCAAGAAAGCAAAATGGCTGTCTGAAGAAGCTTTGCAAATAGCTGCGGAAGGAAGGGAAGCGAAAGGCAAGGGAGAAAGAGAAAGATACACCCAATTGAATGCATAATTCCAGAGAATAGCTAGAAGAAATAAGAATGCCTTCTTCAATGAACAGTGCAAAGAAATAGAAGAAAACAATAGAACAGGGAGGACCAGAGATCTCTTCAAGAAAATTGGAGATATGAAGGGAACGTTTCATGCAAAGATGGGCATGATAAAGGACCAAAACGGCAGGGACCTAACAGAGGCAGAAGAGATTAAGAAGAGATGGCAAGATTACACAGAGGAACTATACATGAAAGAGCTTAACATCCCTGATAACCACAATGGGGTGGTCACTGACCTCGGGCCAGACATCCTGGAATGTGAAGTCAAATGGGCCTTAGGAAGTCTGAGCAACAACAAAGCTAGTGGAGGTGACAGTATTCCAGCTGAGCTATTCAAACTCTTAAAAGATGATGCAGTAAAAGTGCTACACTCAATATGCCAGCAAATTTGGAAAACTCAACAGTGGCCAAAGGATTAGAAAAGGTCAGTTTACATTCCCATCCCAAAGAAGGGCAGTGTCAAAGAATGTTCAAACTACCGCACTATTGCACTCATTTCACTTGCTAGCAAAGTTATGCTCAAAATCCTACAAGCTAGGCTCCAGCAGTATGTGGACCAAGAACTACCAGAAGTACAGGCAGGACTTCGAAGAGGAAGAGGAACTAGAGATCAAATTGCCAACATACGCTAGATCATGAAGCTAGGGAGTTCCAGAAAAACATCTACTTCTTCTTCATTGACTATGCTAAAGCCTTTGATTGTGTGGATTACAACGAATTGTGGCAAGTTCTTAAAGAGATGGGAGTACCTGACCATCCTATTTGTCTCTTTAGAAACCTATATGTGGGTCAAGAAGCAAGAGTTAGAACTGGGCATGGAACCACTGACTGATTCAAAACTGAGAAAGGAGTTCGGCAAGGCTGTATACTGTTGCCCTGCCTACTTAACTTATATGCAGAGCACATCATGAGAAAGGCGGGGCTAGATGAATCACCAGTTTGAATTAAGATTGCTGGGAGAAATATCAACAACCTCAGATATGCAGTTTATATTCACCTGTGTCTCTCTCAGACATCAAACAACTTTATCTGCATGTAATTCTGCGCAGGACTTAAAAGCAGGCTCAAAGGCTGCATAGAGAATGAGGCCATTCACTTTTCATTTAAATCCAGAATATCAAGTGCTTTTGAGGTGGAACCTTTGAGCCTCCTTTAGAGTCCTGGGTGGAATTACAATTCTTACATGGGCAGGCTTTAAAATTCTAATTTGTTAGAAGAACCCAACAACTCACAGAAAGTGCCCCACGTTTCATACCATGGATTATTATGGACCACACAGAAGCCGCAAAGGCCTGCACAGGAATGGCAAGGACAGGGTGAATGCTGCATGGTGCAAAGGATAGGAGAATCCAATGTCACATTCCAGGCTTTAGTTGTAGCAAACCTGCATTTAGTTCTTAAGAGCCAGAACTACAGATTTACACAAAGTAGTGGACAATTTTATGTTCAAATTCTCATGCAGCAACAAAGTTTACCATGTGACCTTTAGCTAGTCACTACTTCCTAATCTAAACTGCCCCATTGGATTTAAACATTTTAAGCATAAAGAAAAGTGTGTGTGTGGAGGGGGAATCATGTATATCCTGAACTCCTGAAAGACAGTGGAAAAACAAAAGGAAAAACAAGCTTTATTTATATTTTATAGATAATCACTGAGCACAATATAGTCAAAAATTAAGCATTTTTAGATATATAATGGCTTCACAACAGGACAATCTGAACATTTTAACAATCTGAATACTTTGTAGCAAATGCAACTTCAATAGGCATAATTTTATCTGGAACATGCCCACTTTTATTAAACACACATACTCTATCTTCCTGTTTATCAGCACCAGCAAGACAATATGAAATACACTACCTTGTGTATATGTTGAGATCTTCTTCTGAAGGAGATTCTGAGAGATTAATTCCGTATACATCTTTTATAGGTTGTACTACATTCTGAAGTAAAACAAGGAATATTCATGGCAATTAGTCTGGATCTTAAATTTCTTTAAATAAGAACATAAGAAAAGCCATGCTGGATCAGATCAAAGGTCTATCTAGTCTAGCACTCTGTAAACACGGTGGCAAACCAGGTGTCTACAGGGTCGCTCAAGCACAATGGATGCAAGACTTCCGCCTGCCCAAGCTCCTCAGCAACTGCCATATGCATGCATGCCACCTCTGGTAAATGAGGTAGCACACAGTCAGCAAAGCTAATAGCCACTGATAGCCTCCTCCCTCATGAATTGCTCCAATTCCCTTTTAAAGCCATCCAAATAGGCAACTATCACCACCTCCTGTGGCAGTGAATTCCGTAGTTTATATGCTATAGCATTTTAAGTACTTCCTTTTATCTGTCCTAAATCTGCCACCACTCTGCTTCATGGGATGCCACCAGGTTCTAGTGTTCTAGAAAAATGTCTCCCTTTCCACTTTCTTTACACCATGCATTATTTTAAACATCTCTATCATGCTTCCCCTTACTTGCTTTTTTCCTAAGCTAAACAGTCGCAATTCTTGAAGCTGTTCTTCACAGAATTCTGCTCATACCCTGCATCTCCAAAGCACAAGATGTCACTCAAAAGAATAAAATTAAATAAATAAAACCACCATCATTATTGTTACTGAAATGACAGAGACTCAGCAGCAACATATGGCCACAACACCGACATCGCAACCACACTTTTTCCGTAAGATGCAGGTTCTCTATCTGAAAAGATGTCTTTACACCATTTAAAAAAGTTATCAATTGTGCTGGAGATCTAAACTTCAGTATTTAATGGCATTCTTCCACCAACAGGGAATTCCATGAGCTTTGACTTAATTATAATATGCCTTACCCTCTTTTTGCCAGGTGTGTATTATTGAAGCGTTTCTTTGAATTTCGGACCTTGCCTGTATATGCCTGCATATGCACTTCTTCTCATCCGTCATATTATCCCATATATGCCTGCAACTTTCTCACTTCTAAACAGTCTATCTGACAAAACAGGCTATTAAATACAAAGTTCATCAGTAACAGATCAGAGTTCTAGCTAAAATAATTCTCTTGGGCCTTGGTTTCTAAGGCTGTTCAACATCCCTTGCTCAGCATCAGACTACATGTAACACACAAATGCATGTACTAGCATGTTGACTGCTGTTGGAGAAAAGCAGCTTGGGTGTTTGTACCAGAATGGCAAAATAAATAGGATGAGTAACCCTTCTCCATCAGCTGCTTTTTATGCTAATTCCCTCACTGCCATCACTCTGCTCCCATAGAGTTCCGGACAGTTTGCCCTTGTAAGTATATGCTTGGAACCCACAAGAAGAAAACAACTGAGGGGAATGGCAGTGGAAGAAATAAAGAAAGACAGCATCTCTTTTTTTGCCACTTGCCTGCTTCAAATTATTCTCCACACAAGATTTCTTTTTAAAAAGGGATCAGTTGTAATAGATGTGTTTGCCTATGACATGTAGTCTGTATATTAGTTACTATCTTGCACTCCTGGTGCCTCCCGGATTGTTTGCACTACAACTCCCAGCATTCTTGATTATACACAATGCTAGTTGGAGTTGATGGGAATTGAAGTTGGAAGCAAATGGATGGTACCAGGTCAGGGAAGACTATCTAGGAATGCCCCAAGGTCAAGATGCTTGTTCCTCCGAACAGGCAACTGAATCATAACTTTAACTGAAGTGGAGAAACATCCTCTATCATACTTGATGGCAGCACCATTCACTCATGAAAGGAAAACAAAAGCAGGCTCAAGAGAAATGCAAGATACAAAACACTTTAGGAAAAAATGTATGGGGACTTGCAAAACCAGCACAATGAGGTTTGGGTATGCCCAGTGACCACAGACAACTGCCTTCCTCTTAAGAGTTGGAAGAAATGAAAAACTAGAAAGGAGTGGAGATGGTGGCTGGAACTTTGAACAGGGAGACCCCATGATGCCATTTCACTGTGGTTTCCACATATACAAATGTGTAATCCTCAAAATATTGTACCATTGCACCCTGCTAAAAAGAAAGACCGTTACATGACCAGCCTGAGCTCAATTAATTTATCATATTTTATATCCTGCCCTTCTTCACAAGGACCCCAGGGCAACGAGCGACCCATATATATAAAATATTTCTAGACGTACTGCATGACCTGGGCTGCATGATATTTTATAAACATACTGCATGATATTTTACATACTTTCATTTTACAAAGGAAAGACTAAAGGGAAACATGTGCCCTTAATAAAAATATATGTTATTTCTTTTCAAGGTCTAATAATTTTAATATACTTCAAAAGAAACTGAATATTTGTGAAATAAATATTAATTAGTTGTAAAGTTACCCTTGAGTTCAATAATGAATGAAGCAATGCAAACAGTCTTCATACTTTAATTTCAGCTTGTCAAATATGTGATCTTTTTTCCTTTAAATTACTGGAACAATTTTTATTATCTTTCAATACCTCCCTGTGACTCATTTTTTTCCTCCAGTTATTATGTGTGAAGCATGGACAAGGTGAACTAACCAGGCAATGAATCAAAGCAATTGCATATCATACTGTCAGAAACAGTTCAGGCACTTAAGTGGGTAATGATCCTGCCATGTCAACAGCCATGGAGGCAGAACAGCACTAGCAATGGAGTAAGTTCAAGATGTGATTTTTCAGGATGGAAAAAACTTTGCTGGCTATTGTTGGCTGTATCCAACAGCTTCCACTACTGTGAGAGATTTTCTTCCCCCTCTTGAGAGCAGACCTGGAGTTGGGTGCAAGGAGGACAGGAACGTTCAGTCCAACCAAGTTCATTTAGGCAATGTTGGATTTAACCCTCTGTCTGTCATGCTCAAGTGGCTCCAGGGGGTAGATGACTCTCCAGAGTGCTTTTCAGGAGAGGGCAAATAACTCTGGAGGTTCAACACATACACAGAAGCATTTTCCATTTGTACAGCAGGGTCTTTTTCATTTGAAAAAATAATTTCAGGGCTATGGTAGATCTCATGGTCATGACCTTATTATCTTCCAATAGAGTTTTAATTAGTTTCTACTTGTATATAGCAGGGGTGGCCAAACTGATCCTTGGGAGCTGCATGAGGCTCTTTGAGCTTATTTTGCAGCTCGCAGAGGGCTCAGAGCCTCCACCCCCATTTCTTCCCCAGTCCAGACCCCAGTGACGGCATGGGCATGATTATGCCAAGCTCTCCTGGTGCCACCATTCCATCCCACCAAAGATGCCAAGGAAATGCCAACACTGCCAAATTAACGTCTGCTGCTGCCACCGCCCCCAGTAGCACCACCGGATTTGCCACCTGGAGAAGTGGCAGAGGTAGAACCAACAAAGCACCATTGCACTTGTCAGGAGGAACAGGTGGGGCATGCTGGGGCCAGCTTTCTTGAGGCTGCCAGCCCACCCATTCTCCCGATGACTCTAAAGAGCCAACTCTGAAAGAGGGATATTGCCCCCCTTCTTGAATGTGGAGGGTGTGGGGACCAGTTGCAACTCTAATGAGAATTTGTTTTGTTTATGTAACAGCCCCTGAAGATAACTATCCTACTGTTGCTTGTCCCTTCTGTAGTTCTTTCAAAAATCCCTAGTAGGACATGGTCTTCAAGTTAGAATTCTAACAAAGAATTCTCAGCACTTCTCACTAAATTATAATTGTCGGGATTCTGACCATGACAACAGTTAAAAAAAAACACAACCCTGCTTTTTTATTAATATGGCACTTTTTTTGAGTAGTTCTTGTTTCTAAAGGTCCATTTCTTTGGGAAGGGCATCCCTCAGTGTTCCAGGTATGTATGCATCTTATACACTTTAAAAATCATACACTGATAAGCAAGAACACACTTTCAAAAAGTCATAATACATAATAAATAAATGTCTGTTCCTGTCTTGCAGCTCTCAAACATCTGACATTTATGTGGCTCTTTCATTGAGCAAGTCTGCCCACCCCTGGTTTACAGTAATCTGAGATCTTGAAAAGACTGTTGGTGAAGTTCTTCAAAATCAGAGATTTAATTATTTATTATTGTATGTAAGGGGATGGGGGGCCTGCAGATATGGGGTGAAGCCCAGAAGGCTTCTGGGAGTAAGAAGTAACTCCCACACTCACAAAAACAAAAGGTTTGCCATATTTTGGGATGAAAGTAGCTTAGGAGGCGAAAGCTGAATGGAGGGACTCATAAGATCTCCGTGTACCTCCAGTCTGGGAAGTTGCTCACTTGGAGCTTTCCATGGTGCTGTAACCACCTGCCTGCCTGCCTTTCCTCAATCAATTCTGCTGTAGATGGAACAGAACCTTTAAAATCACAATTCCTAAAAAAAACACAAGGAAGTTTTTTTCTCTGCAGTTTTAAAACTCTCAGTTAGCCCTATAGGGAACATGTCACATGAATTCTGGGCACAAAGGATAATCCTTTGTATCTTTATATTTTGCAAGGATCTTTCACTTATCAAGCATATGGTTATAACATTTCTTGTTTTCCACATTGAGAACATGAAGCTTTTAAACTGCAGAGCTAATCTTGCGTGTGTATTATAAATGTTCCTCAATGTAAACAAATAGCAGGAAGGAAATGCAACTCATCTCTACAGCCCTGTAACATACAGCTTCATTACATATTTACTCCCTATTTGCTCATTTTTAAAATGTTGCTTACTAAAATAATTGAAATATCAACGAATTTAACAGAATTATACAGCTCTTTGTAGAAGGTAGTTGAATGAATACTGCTGTTTTGTTCAGAGGTGATTGCTGAAGAACATTCAAAACTAACACGAGGCAACTGTTTCTCAGCATTTGCAATCCTGAGTGTTTGGGAAGAGGTTAATTATTTTAGTGTAATCATGGAATAAAATGGTGAATCTAAAAAAATTCAAGCACTTTGAATTTTAGGATCACAGTTCAATGACAAACTATTAGCTTGTGTCCAGTGGGATTTGAACTTTGGGGTGGCAACTCCCCACACTGTAATATAAACCTATCTTGAAAGGATTTAAAATTGTATTTGTAGAAAAACAATATGATATATAGAAAAAGAGAATTTCAGTCCTGGAATGGAACACAAGTTGAATGCCTAAAATAGCTTTTTGCAGTGCATATCAAAAGGTCATGAAGGTCATCTACTTTTAAATAGCAACAATAGTTTTGTTTCAGCATCAGGAGATTAAACTAGTTATGATTAACTGAAAATATTTAGTTCATGTTGTAAATTTGAGATATTCCTCACACACTTTTTCCAAGGATGCATAGCAAGAAATGGTTGGTCAGCATCTTCCCTTTTTGAGACATGCAGCTTGTTTGACACTGTATGTGTTTACTCTGGAGTTACATACAAGACTCCACAGTTGTACAACTCCAGAGTTGTAGCCAGACTTTGTGCATGCTAGTTGAAGCTGACAGGAACAGAACTTCAAAATAGGTAGAGCATTTGCACAATTCTTGGGTAATCTCAGACTTGTGTTCTCTCTCTTCTGCTCTTTTGCGCTCACAAAGAGATTATATTCAACAAACCATAGTTCTGTATGGTGTCTGGGGGACTATAATTTGTTTGGCTTGAGTTCTGTTAGTCTAACAATATGATCCACTCCTATCTTGTTCTTGCTAATCAGAAATTGAACATACTGCAGTTTTCCAACTTTGGGAATTAAAGGAAACTCTGATAATATTAAAATTAAAAACAGAAGCTGTTGTTCTAAAAGAGGAGGAAAGGGAAGGGGCGAGCATTGTGTGAGCCTGGTGTTTATGATGCTTTTTGCACATAGTAGGAAGCCATGGGGTCTTACACCACTCAATCAAACATCAACAGAAAGACATATGCAAAACAAGCTGATCACTAACTTAGGGACTCACTGAAAAAATGAACATGTATTTCTGTCATTTTTTCACATTTTAAAGACAATAACATAAAGCCAAAGTATGGTTAAAAGGTGTGCTCCAGGACAGACCAGAGAACAAGCAATTCATGCAGCTGCTTGAGGCACCAGCATTCCATAGCACCAACAAAGCACTGTGCAATCTGAAAGGTGTGTCCTAGAACCCCTTGCAAGACTTAAAGGGATTTTGGGACACAGCTCTTTACATGCATAGACGGTTGGCATCCTCTGAAATGCTACAGGAGTTCCTGTGGTACAGATACTTGGGGCCACAAACAGCTTGGGTCAGCCTTACAACCCCTGGAATTCTTCAAGATGCCCTGCTCCACAATAAACTATCCCAGTATATTACATTAAAGCATTGATCATGGAGGAAAACTGGCCAGAGCCAGGAGATTCTTCTCACATAAAATCTTTTTGTGGGTCATGTGGTCTCATAGCCTGCGTTCTTCCTACAAGTTTCATTCCCTTGTGCAATCTTAAAAATCCAGATTCTGTTAGTATAAAATTGCTAAGCTCCCTCATGTTAATGTGTTTACAGATCTTCATTAACAATGCCAGATATTGAAGTATTATAATTGCACTGAAGCCAGCACAAGAGTATCATATGGCAAAATTAGTGTTCACATTTGAAAAGGATTTTATTAAGCTATATTTCTGTATTAGTCCAATATTCTATTAACCCATTTTTCACTCCTAGCCGAATTACCTAGATTAATTTAAAACAGTGATACAGATCAAGTTCTTCATGGTATATTTTCAGCCTGAAATCTAATCAGTTACAAAATGTCTTGTTAAATTGCTTTTTAAGTACCACCTCTGCTTCTGAGGTTTCATTAAAACAACTGCAGACTTCTTAAAAGAATGCAATACGTTTTCTCATTGCTGAATGAGAAAAGCCTCAACTACATGATCAGGGATAAATCTTTCAGTAAGCTTTAAACACTAGGAAAAAAATTATGTTAAAGGAGAGAGTGAGATATCAATGTTACCCCCTTGCATGTTAACTCTGTTTCTTACATCTGATGCTTTGGCATTATCTCCCGCATCTGTTATTTTCACAGGTGTTGAACGCTGAGATGCAGCTCCTTCTTCTTCTTTATCAGTCCCAGAATCATCCTCAGAACTGCTGGATACGGCCTCCTCACTGGGCGGTGGAGGGGCACTAGCAGCTGTTTTACGTTGCAGCACTGTTTCTTCTCTATTGCTCTTGTTCCTAGAAAAAAATTACACTACATCCTGAGTTCAAGGAAAAGAGGGCTAGACTTGATTGCAATTACTGCCGATAGACTGTCTTGGATGAGAAAAGGAAAAAGAAAGTATCTTCTTTCTCGATGCAAAGAAGCCCAAATGTTTGGCTTTTCCTAGGTACTTTGTCAAGAAATGGCAGGAAGTGAGACAATTACATATCCTCCAAAATCCTGTGGCTGAAATTAGGGCTTCTCTTATATAGTAACCCTCCAATACACTGTGTTAACCATTCTTGTCAGTCTGCTGCATTTTATAGTCATTGACCTGGTTCACACGTAATGCTCAATTCCTGGCTTGTTTAACCCAAGAGTTGGCCAGGGTGTGGGGCAGTGAGCAAGCCTGTTGGCAATTAACCCAGTTAATGCCATAGTCCTAGGTTGTTTCATCATGACCAAATCGAACAACCCTGTTGTTTAGGGGTTAAACAAGCCAGGGCTAACCCAACAATTGCCCACAGTTTGTTGGCATTGATCTTATCTATTGATCAAAACCAAAGACAACAAGCACAGAATTTGCATTTGCCCTCACAATTCCTAGGTTAAGCAGCTGGGTCATTGACTTTGTAACTGCCTGTCCTCCAATAACTTCTGAATCCCAAGCAAGCTGACATATTAAAGAATCATACTTAGGTCTGCTATTTCTTTTCACTTTTCTAAAAATCAGACACAGGATGGGGAATAAATTGGATCAGAACTCTGGCACTGGAGCAGGGAGAATCACTGGTATTTTGCCACCCAGAATTATTCTTTAAGGAACATATTTCAAAACTCCATGGAAGGAAATGTTCAGACAATGTGTTAATACGGATAACAACTGTATTGCTCATTCTAAACAGTAGTCTGACCATGTGAAATATGCCACCTAGAGAACAGCCAGCTTAGTAGTGTATGAATAGAAACTCAGACAGGAACTTAGTGGCAGGAAGTGAAGTTTAGGTTATCAGAGACAACTCTATAAACACACACAAGAATAGGGAAGATTTTGTTGGATGAAGGGAATCATCTACTAACTTACAGTTCAGCCACAGAAAACTAAACTGCCAACCAGTAAAGAAATTTAATGATCAGGACTTATTTTGAAAACAGGGGTCAAAAAGCAACAAGTTCAAGTTTTTGAGCTATTACAAGAAAGAACTGGACTATTCTGTTGCTTGAGGCATATAAGGTTTAAAATGTCATTTTAGGGTTCCCAGGACATAAAGCCTTATTGAACTCTTGCACTCATTTAAGCAATTTCCTCTTTAGAAATAAGAAATACTATTCTCAGCAAATAGATTTGAGAAGATGACGAGAGGGATGAAGAAATAAACTGTACTTGAGATGTTCTTTTAAAGAAAGGGTTGGTAAAACAACAACAGAAACTATCAATGAGAACAGACTGGACGGACCAAAGATCTCAGAACAGATTCTTGTATATAGTCAGAAGAACAAGTTGTCCTTCTGGTTCAAACACACCAATAATCAAGATGCAAAAAGGAAACTATTTCAGAAGTAGTATCCAGAAAATCAATAAACACTTAAAGAGGTCTCAGCACAACATTAAACTCCATTACCTCAACTGCTGCTGCAAAAAGAACACCAATGTGCAAAAAGAGTTCAGCCCAGCAGCTACAGCCAGATTCACAATGGAGCGCAATCATAGTTTGGGTGCATGTGCATTCAATGAACTATTCCACAGAGCAATTTAAATTACAGGGAAGCACATGTGAACACTACTGCAGCAATAAATTCCATACTAAAGCCAGCTAGAATGACATATGTGCAGAAATCCTTTTCCCCAGCACCACCTATCAGAATAAAGAAGTCCATACATTGTAAGCAAAGAGCAATATACAAAAAAGACAACAAAACAACCTTTTTTTCAAGAGCCAGAGAAAGGATGAGGAAAGCAGGAAAGCATTTCTGATTGCTCTGCTATACATTTGCAGGAAAGCATCTCTGATCTCTCTGCATTTCTGATCTGTCTACCATCCTTCAACAGTCAACCAGGGCAGATACTAAATTGTTTTTGGCTTAATGGCCCAACTTCCTGCCATACATTAATGAGGCAAAAATGGGCTTTCTTCAAACTCTATTTGCCTTGTAAAGTTAATGCAGGGAAATTGGGAAGACATTTAAATTTACTATTTTCAGTTTTATTCAGTGGAGATGGTAAAATATCAGAGCAAGATATGCATGCATTTTCCCCCAGATTAAACTTCCATGTAGAGATCGCTCACAATGGCATTTTTTCCAGCTCCTGTTGAATTTCTGAAATGGTTTATATTCAACTCAAAGAGGCAGGGTTATAACTAATAAGTTTTTCTCAGCCTTTTTTCCACTTGGGAAAGGGAGATTCACTTTTCCATTGATATTGGACTTAAGTTTGGAATGCATGGCATGTGCTATTCCACAGATTACCAGTATTCATGGCTTTGTTCATAACATTTTAGAGTTTAAAATTATCCTTTATGCAGATAATTAGAGTTAAATGTTGAGAATAGTCTACAGAGGAGCATCATACTGAGGATTATTTATGTGTTATATGGGAATCCTTTATATATACCTGGGAAATGTTTTCCAAAATATTTTCTTAGGTAAATTTTTCTAGCTTCCATTTCTGCCATGAATAACTTTGAAAATGATACAACTTTCTATTAAGGAATGTGCATTTGGCTTTCTAGGTTTTGGGTTATATCATTAGGACTGTTTGCTGATGTCCTAAATGTTGGTCTTTTCTGCTTAGATTTTCTCCCATGGTTAATTTTTAAATCCTCCTATCAGGGCCCTCTGTTCAAGTGAATTGCACTAGGCTCCTAACACAGGGATTCCACTAGGAATCCATCTATTGTTAGTATTATTTGATGCATGCAGCAGATAGTATTGCTTCAATTACAGTTTGACCCATTTTTACTTGCTAATTTGACCTAATGGCAAAATCAGGCTTTAAAATAAGTTAAAAATGCTTTTGTGGCAGACTTGGACAGACATGTTGATTTTTTCTTTGGATCAGCTAGTGAGGAAAAATGATTTTTTTATTTTTTTTGGTACTTTTCTCACATCATGTAGTCATAACATTTGCAAGAGTCTAGGTTCGGCCCTGAGACTTTTACAAATTCCCATTTTCCCCAGTTATTGGACATACTTACTGAGGTTCATCAGTTATAATGACCCACAATAAATGTCTATAAATATCTAATATCAGTGAATAAATATGAAACATCAGGTCTAATGGAGCAGTGCAGCAGATAATTGGAATGACCTATTCCGTCCAATTAGATTGCTGCTTCAGAGTTGACATCTGAACTTTTAATGAATCTCATGTTACATCTTAATCAGTAAAATGTTTTCTGAATGTACTGGACCCCAAAATATCTCACTAATAAGGTTTTAGCAGCTGGAGATACAATACTGCTAACGTTTCTTTTGATCATATGTTTTCGCAATGTTTGATGTTGATACTTTTTGGGTGAAAGTTGTAACACAGATAAACTTTGTATTAAAATACTCTTGGATATTTCTGTTGTTTGTATTTGTTTACTATCTATCTGCTTCTTGGATGTCAAACATAAATAAATTTCCCATTGCATAAGGTGACTTATAAGCATCTCCTCTCCATTTTGCCTTCATGATAATACTGAGAAACAGGTTAGGCTGAGAGTCAGTGGGAGGCCTAAAGTTACCTAATGAGCTTTATGGCTAAGTGGAGAATAGAACCCTAGTCTTCTGAGTCCCAGTCAAACAATCTAACCACTGTGCCTCACTGGCTCTCACTATGTAATGCAGCCTCAGGCTGACCCAGGTAGGAGAACAGGGTGGGAACAGATAAAAAATCTCACTGAAGAGAAAAAAATGGGGGATTCTGTTCTCCTCCTCTGGCTCTGTTTTCTTGGATCTTACTAGCAGGAAGCTCACTGAAATCAACCATGCTCTCCCAAGTCAAGATTGTAGATCAAGCATCAGGCTTTTGTCCTTGTCCCACACAAATCTGGCTTCCACAAAAAAATTATTCACAAGAATAATAGATATGCATAATTGTTTCACAATTTCACATAATTATTTGCATCTTTAGTAAAACTGCACAAGTAAAACAAATGAATACGTCTTAGCCTTAAATCACTGATTTTCTTACCCCAGAACAGATTTTCCAGTTTCATCTGGTTTACGTACAGTAAATGGACTGGGATCAATGCCAACGTTCTTGGGCATAAAATCCCTAAAAAGAACAGGTGAAAGAATCAATAAGCAAATGCAAGTTAAGTTACTTTCATGAAAATAATGTATCACCAAGTGGAACTAGTGGCCACTTAAGACACAATTTCCATTAAAAAAAATTAAACAGAATGAAGTTGAAATTCTACATTCTCAAAATTATTTTGACAGTAGGTATGCAGCAGTTCCTAAGATATTTGTGTTGCTAATAAATACATATTAGCTGCTAAAAATTCAAAGACAAAACAAATTCAGTTGAAATGAAAACAGTCCTGGATAAAAGTTATATTTACTTTATTTCCCATCCGAATTAGGAAGTGTCCAAACTGAGCTTCATTTGATAAAAAAATCTCTCAATCTCTCTCTCTCACACACACGCGCGCGCACGTATGCACAGACTGATAGACACACAGATCCTCCAGGTCTATCATTGCTTGGTTCTGCCCCTTTCAAAAATGCCACATTATATTGATTGAGTGATGTTCCACTAAGCAAATTCATTTCAGATGAACTACTTTAGCTTCATGTCAGCTATTTTATGGCTGATTCACATGAACAGGTGGCCTCCACATGCACTGCCAAGGGCATAACATCTGAAAACAGCTGCATCATGGTAATTCCCAGCATATTTGGAAAAGCCTCTAAATGCATTGTGTAAGTGCAGCTCAATGACTGGGGGTTAGACATACCCCTACAGACTTTACAGAATTCAAATATTTTTAGAATGGTACTAGAATGTGAATAGCCCATTTTCTTCTTTGTGTATTATATTTCAAAGTTATAACTGGAATTAATGCCACTTATGGGAACCCATTTTAAAGGATGCAATTCCATTTGACTTTTGAAATGAGAAGTGCTGAATCTAAATGTCATCTTTTGAAAACCAAAAATATACATACCGTATGGAATTTGTCATCGCCAAGCAAAAGGTATCATCAAAACTGCTGAGTTCATATGGCCGAAAAAATTCATTATGAATGTCAATCTCTTCATCATACTTATGAAATTTCTTCACTATTAGCTTTCTTCTGTTTTCAGCACATGTCGCTAAAACAAAAACAAAAATCATAATAGTGTGTTTAACCTTTTGAATGGTCTGAGGAAGGCTCATCTTGGGATAACTATTGTGTATGTAATGTATACTGTCTCCTGCTACACAGAGAGAGAGAGAGAGAGAGAGAGAGAGAGAGAGAGAGAGA